ATACGCTCAAACACATACAAATAAATATAAATTATTTAAACTTTCTTAATGCACCAATCATATCTACTTTATACGACGAGATAATAGAAAAAATATCTTAATGTTTTAATTACACAAAAAGAAGATTTATGTTCAAAGTCAGAATTTTTAAGTACTTCAAAATTTGTATGCACAATCCTGCACAGTCTAACTTGCAGATACACATTAACCGGTTAGTTCTTTGCAAGTAAGGCAGAGTGCTTTACCTTCCTGAGCACCTAACGTATGAAATATATGTGCAAAGGTTTTATTTACAATTAAGGTACATACAAAAGAAAGTATGCTACACTGATTTGTAAAGAAAACTACTAGCCTTGTAAAAATAAAAACCTAACGATTGCTTTAAACATAATTCCCGCCCTTGACAGGGCAAATATTTAAGGATTTTTGAGGTGGCCAATGATATTTCTATGTCTCTGCCCTTAGACACGCCTCTGATTCTGATATTTAAAGCACAATCAAGAACAAATCTCCGTCGGCTGGGAAGTGCAAAACAAGCTTATAATGTGTAAAAAACATTTCAAAACTTGAGGACAAATTTACACTTAAATAATCGCCTCAAACTCTAATAAAGTAGCACAACATGGGGGCGCTTGATAGCCTAGTGTTTGTGTTGTACGCCCCATGAACAGAGGCAATAGCTCTCATCACAGCGGCCGTGGGTTTGAGTCCAGCCTCGGCCCTTTGCTTCATGTCATCCCTCACTCTCTCCTCCCAGCATTTCCTGTCTTTCCTCAGCTGTCCTATGAAAAAAGGCAAAAGGCCCCAAAAAATATCATTGAAAAAATAAGGAGCACAACATGATATGAAAATGGAAAGACATAGTTTATTGTGAAAAAGTGGGATTAAATAGAAATACAATTTGTTTTGTCTAATTTCTTGTCTAATCTCCAATCTGGTTATACCGCCGTTGTTGTTTGTTGTCTCTACCGTCGTGACTCTGTCAGTTCTGTCTCGTGTCATTTGCTGCCGGTACTTATGAAAAAAAAAGAAACAGGCAGAGACCTGTGTGGTAGGAAATGCTCTTTGATTGCATGTTGAGATAACCAATCAGGTGCGTGTGCAGGAGTGACTTTGATGACCTCGTCACCATCGTCACTTACAAAGTAACTGAGGAGCCTCCTCACATGAGACAGTGTCAAGATGATGGTGCTGTGGATCACACTGCTTCTCCTCCATCAGGCGTGTGAGTGATGAAACTTAATGACTAAATACTTTCTCATGTATGTAAGAGGAAGAGGTGATTCATGGGAAGTCTAATCGTGATAATTGTTGTTGATTGTTTCAATTATTGTCTCTTTTATCTAGATACGCTTCCTCCGGTGACCACAGTTGGACTTGGGGAACCTGTGACTTTAACATGTGTTTTACCGGATATCAAAAGCCAGATAGTCTTCTGGTACAAGCAGAGCGCCGGGGAAAGGCTGAAATTAATGGTGACACTGGGGGGAAATGGAAAACCTCTATTTGAAACAGAGTTCTCTTCTTCATTATTCGATGCTAACATTTCTGAAAATATGAGCAATCTGACCATTTTGACGACGACTCAAGAAGACGAGGGAATGTATCACTGTGCAGCCTTGGAGTGGCCTAAGATTAGCTGGAGTGGAACCTATGTGTCATTAAAAGGTACGTAATAACTGCATCCACTGAAAGCAACATCGTACTAATGTCTCTCAATAGTTAAAAAACGTTATTTAGTGTCAACAAACTATTTTTCTATATTTGTCAAATAAAACAATATATCTTTAAAATTCTTCTGGTTTGTTACTCGTCTTTGTCAAGGTGATGATTTCACTCAGGATATAATAACACTTTTAAAAACGTTCTCATCCTTACATCTTATCATGCCAGAGCTTTATAAATTAAGCTGATACTGTTTGTTACATTAGAACTTCTTAACATTTGCAGGAAACACTGAGAGGACAACAGAGCTGAGAGTCGTTCAGGAGCCGACAGTCTCTGATCAGCTCCGTCCAGGAGACTTGATGTCTCTGCAGTGTTCAGTCCTCTCTGACCCGGACAGTAAAACGTGTCCCGGAGGTCACAGCGTGTTGTGGTTCAGAGCCGGATCACATGAATCTCGTCCAGACATCATCTACACTGCTGGAAACAGACGTGATGGATGTGAGGAGAGATCTGCCTCTCAGAAAAGCTGTGTTCATCACTTCTCTAAGAACATCAGCTCCTCTGATGCTGGGACCTACTACTGTGCTGTGGACACATGTGGACGCCTTTTATTTGGAGATGGAACCAAAGTGGACGTTGGTATGACATCACATAAGCTCATGTAAGAAATATTTTAAAATTTGTTGTTGACATTATAACTGACCAGTGGCTATGTTTGTCTTCCAGCACAATCAACACATTTTGGATTTATCATCATGGTGATTTTAATCGTCTGCTTGGTTATTTCTACTGTTGGAAATGTTTTCCTCCTCTGCAAACAAAAAGCACGTAAACAACATGGAGGTAAGAGCTGTAAACAAGTGAAGCCAATATGACTAGCACTATTATTTAATGTGCATAATTAAGCCAATGTTACGCACACTGAATTATGACAATGTGGGTTCCATAAGAAAGGTGTTTTTATTCACAGCATTCGTAACTGCAAACACAACAGAAAGACAGTCTTGTATGAGAATCGTCATACAGTGCTGCTTTGCAGACTGTCTGATGCAATACAACTGTGCTTACTTCCTGCAATACACAGGGAACAGCTACAAATGACTGACTAAACAATATAACTTTGCTATCAGTCTCCAAACATAACAAACGCTTGACAGCAAATATTAAATGTATAGTTTTGTCTTCACAAATAACTATTTCTGTGAACCAACAATGCATATGGTATCTTATAAACATTAAACCTGTGTATGAATACAGTCATGCCTGCTTAACATAGCTAGCGCGCTTCACGTGTTGAAGGAGGCTACCGATGCTAGCGCTAGTTAGCTTTCATGTTATTTGACATAAACAACATTTCTAACATGCAAACATTACTAAACACATGAAGATGTACTTAAACTAAATGTTTTCGCTGCTTGTGCACTTATCGCTCACCTGCAAACACAACAGAAAGACAGTCTTGTATGAGAATCGGCATATAGTGCTGCTTTGCAGACTGTCTGATGCAATACAACTGTGCTTACTTCCTGCAATACACAGGGAACAATGCTGCTACTGACACCTACTGGCCACAATGAATATTGTCCTGCAGGTATTACAGCCTAAGCAAGTGAATCCCTCCTAGTCATACAAATCATCTTAATGACATTTAACCAGAAAAATAATAGTGGGGGGCACGAATGTAATAATATAACTGATAACCAATAATCACAGGCATAGTCTTAGCAACTAAAATACCCAGGGTGCCACACAAACCTTCACAGCAGAGGTTTGATCGAGATCATAAGAGATTTAAATTTATATGCCGCCTTTCAAGGGATACAAGGATATCCTGATGAACAATAGCTGCAACCAGTGGTGGACAAAGTTCACAAAGTCATGACTTGATTCAAAGTAGAGATCCTCCTTGTCTATTATTCCTCCAATACAAGGGGAAGTTGTTGCGTCAAATCATAACATGAGTTAAAGTTCTGGAGTATGTTGCTTTTAGAAATACTTCAGTATCAAACAACTTTTTAAAGACCTCTCTAAATGTTGTTGTATTTTCACGATGCATGAGCTCAGTCAGGAATACTCTGGTGTTCATTGTGCTAAGTTATGTTTCAAACACACATCTTATATTTATTTTCATCATGTTATTTCTCCTAAAAGGATTGGAGAGCGCTGTTTCAGAAGCCAGAAAAGATAATGCATCACGGCAAGAACACAACACCGTCAGAGATAACATCAAGTAGACAGGATCTTCATTTTCATGTCATTGTGTTTGTAAAACTATTTTATCTTCTGCACAGGCCGATGCTGAGAACAAATTAAACTATGCTGCTCTAAACTTTTCTGCAAGAAAACCAAGAGGAAGAAAGAAGAGAGAGTTTTCTGAGGACAGCGTGTACGCTCAGGTGAAACTCTGATGCTGTTAATAAAGTTGAGCTTAAACTCTAAACCTGCATCATGTAGATTTTATTATTTACTAAACCCACTGGCCATCTATCAAAACCCACTGGCCTTCCATCGGAACCCACGGGCCCACAATCAAAACCTACTGGTCCACCAACAAAACCTACTGGTCCACCTACAAAACAAACTGGCGCACAAAGAAAACCAACGGGCCAACCCTCAAAGCCTACTGGCCCACCCATAAAAAACCCACTGGCCCACCAACAAAACCCACTGGCCCACCAACAAAACTCACTGGCCCACCAACAAAATCTACTGGCCCACCAACAAAACTCACTGGCCCACCAACAAAACCCACTGGCCCACCAACAAAACCCACTGGCCACCAACAAAACCCACTGGCCCACCAACAAAACTCACTGGCCCACCAACAAAACCAACTGGCCCACGAACAAAACCCCCTGGCCCACCAACAAAACCAACTGGCCCATCAAGGAACCCACTGACTCACTCACAACACCATCTGGTCCTTTACATCTAGTGCTCTAATCGTTAAATTAAATGTGACCATGTTTTTGCTGTATTAGCCCCAACTCTCTGGAATCAAGTCCCACAAACCATCAGCTCTGCAGAATCTTTGGACTGTTTCAAGAAACATCTAAAAACTCAGCTGTACAGCCAAGCCTTCATGTTACTCCCAAACTCTTTCTTGTGCTTCAATTGTTTCTGTTTTTGTCTAATTCTTATTTTGCCCTGTTGGATGTTGTGATTCATTTATGTAATAATGTGCTATGTAAATAAAGTTTTGCCAACTTACTTTTGAGCCGATGAGTCGTTGCCACCAGAACAATGGTTATATAAATTGTTTTTAAAAAGTTACACACAGTCCAGCTCTGATTAAAACAACCAAACAGTAAAGAGACATTTCACACTTCACATAATGTCATGTTGGAAAATATATCCAGCTTACAAAAGAGTTTATTCATAAAAATGAAACAAGGAGCTGGGGTATCACAGCTGGAACCTACAGAGAGGATACCATCAAGGCTATCATCACAAGCAGTTTGGGAATAAGAGAGTCCCTTTTCCTTTTCAGAACCACTAAAATTCATAAAAAGAAAAATGGTTCAGTCGTCTCTGTGTAGTCAAATGGTTCCACAAAGCCAACAGTTTTCATTAAGAACAAAGAAATCTCATCATGTTTACATTTCGTTTGTCAGGTCCAGTACCTTACGTTGAATTGTACCACTTTTAAAAAGATGTCTTATATTGTGATAAATAATACATAAAGAGCAGAGGACATTTGTTTCCATCATAGTCAAAATCGTACATTCAGATTCCATTCAAATGTTTACAATAATGGAGCTCATAAGAGTAAAATGATCTATTCTTGGTCCAACCAGGCCGCTTCTGTCTGTACGTGTCAATAAATCCATTCATAGACTTTCTCCTACACCGGAGTATGTACAATCCAGCGACTGCTCCCTCGCAGCCGTCCATCTTTTAGCTTTCCTAGCTGCAAAATCCAGCGCTACGTAGTTCAGAGCCGCCTCGTCAGCATCCTGTAAAAGATCATTTTGACTTTGAGATGTTTGAGCCAGGATCATAAAATCAATAATATGAAACTGTTTACTACAAACGGTAGACGTTTAGTCAGACTAAAACTGTTACACAACTGTCACCTTTTGTTTATAATAGTGACTCTGACCATGAAGTAGAACTTATTTTAACCTGAACCACAATTTTTTTTACAGCTCTAACCAAACCTTTACCACAGCTACGTAAGATCAGATATAGGACCATGTTTAAACTCTGGAGCTGTCCTGTCCATCGAGGCATTAAATGTACGACGAACAAAGATTTCTGATGTTTAAAGTTGAAGAGCTGTTAAACTTGACTTTGACTCCTAGGTCCTCCTGTAAGCCCTCCTGTCCGCTTGAGGCTGGCTCCAGGAACCCAGGAAGTCACATACACACAACAGGAAAAAAAGCAGTTTTTACAGCATAAATTAACGTGTTTACAGCCTGGCACAAAAAAACCAATAGGTCTGATTAGTCATCACTGGCACACACTGTAAGGGGGGTCCATTTTGATTCTGAAAACAATCCATAGTTAGGCGCTTAGCTGACATGATTGACAGTTGGGCGTGATGTAATGTTCCAGCTCCAGCTCTCAGCCTGTTGTTAGGTTGACTGACAGTTAGGCTGAGACAGCATTTCCAGCACGGTTGGCTGCTGCCGATGGGACTCCAAAGCCCCCTGCAGAAACACTCAGGCTTCGTCCATTAACATTTAGTCTATGGCTAACACTGATAGTCGGACGCGACCTGAGAGCTCACACTGTGCAGGTAAAACTAGAAAGGAACATTTACTGTTGTCAATATAAACTCCCGCAGATGGAGGTTGGTTTTAGTTGTCTCATATGCACGGCACACAAAATGTGCTTTCTCTCTCTTACACACACAATCTGCATCATCGTTCAACACAAGCTAACTAGCAGCTAAACCAAAAATCCCTGTCAGCTGGAGGTCTGCAGATATTTCTGCCATTGTTTCTTTCATGATAGGAGACATATGAAAAGGACATTTCTGCTGTTGCTGATGTCAGAAATTCAATTGAACAGTGATTGGACGTCGTGCCTCATTGAACACTGCAGGACTGACGCCTGGTGATGAGGCTGAAATTTGGCCTAAATTCTAAATGAATTGTACGACTCAAAAATGGGGCCTAAATTGGCCTGAAAAATGGCGGGCTTTAGGGGGTTAAAACTATAGATGACTGATTATACTTAGAAGACATGCATTGAAAATTAAATGTATCTCATCTCTACAGCTGGTGTCGTTATTTTCATAAGTCCTTCTGGTTTTGGCACTCAGATTAAAAAATGCTCCCCCAACACCATCAGTGATTTACACGTATCCACTGTGCAACAACCACCTGTTCCAACTCACGTTAAGCTGTACAATATATGAAACTTTGATTACATATACCTCGTTATTTGGTTGATCTTCAGCTGATCTGTGACGTTCGCCTTGATTGGACGCAGTTTTTTCTCCTGTGATAAAAGCGAGAAGTGATGGCATCACAGATACATTTAATATCAAAGACTGTTTAGAAAAGTGTTTGTTCATGAGCAGAGGTGGGAGCAGTCCTTTAAGCGTTAATGTGTTAACAAAGACGTTAACTTCGATATCACTTTATTCTGTTGATTTTTATCTGAAATGAAAATAACGTTAACGTCATAGCCTGTAAATATTAAAGGATGAACCCGGGGCGCTGGAGTCCCATCGATGGCGGTCCCATCTACCCATCATTTGTTTTTTTGAACCAGGCTGTAAACATGTTAACAGGCTTTTAGAATGGGTGTGTATGCAACTTCCTGTGCTTCTGCAGCCAGCCTCTAGTGGACACTGGAGGAACTGCAGGATTTTACACTTCAGCATATGCTTTATTTTTTTAACATTGGAGGATGTAGCTTGTGATTAACGAATGTGTGCCCAGCTCTGCTCATGATGACTTTGTTAATGTGTTGAACAACCTGAACTTACCTTTGCACTGTTTACACACGGGCCTTTGGTTTCTGTAGAAAATGAGAGCAGCCGTCACAAACACGCTGTAGGGCAGCAGTGTCCCAAACGTGATGTAAAACGGCCACGGTTCTTGTTCTGAAATGAAAAGATTTAAACCACAGGAGACAGCGCTTAACCTTAAATCGCTTTTACATGATTATAATTTATTAACAGGTGTCAACATATCAAAACTGCTAATGTTCATGCAGATCGAGCTTATTCCCTGAACCTCTTCTAGAAAAACTAAAAGCAATACTGTGCCTAGGCTGAAATCATAACTATTATTATCACGAGGAAGTCTCAAGGCTTGTTCATAAACTGTCTGAACAGAGGTATAAACAGAGGTATGAACAGAGGTATAAACAGAGTATAAACAGAGGTATGAACAGAGGTATAACAGAGGTATGAACAGAGGTATAACAGAGGTATAAACAGAGGATGTAAACAGAGTATGAACAGAGGTATAAACAGAGGTATGAACAGAGGTATGAACAGAGTATAACAGAGGTATGAAACAGAGGTATAAACAGAGGTATGAACAGAGGTATGAACAGAGGTATGAACAGAGTATGAACAGAGGTATAAACAGAGGTATGAACAGAGGTATAAACAGAGGTAAACAGAGGTATGAACAGAGGTATGAACAGAGGTATGAACAGAGGTATGAACAGAGTATGAACAGAGGTATGAACAGAGGTATGAACAGAGGTATGAACAGAGTATGAACAGAGGTATGAACAGAGGTATGAACAGAGGTGCTCAGGCTTTGATGGGACAAAAAGGAGTGCAGGAAAAGGACTTTTCAACGGTCTGCTTCTGTCGCCCTTACACACACTAACAGTTGTTCTTAACCTTTGTGGCTTGTAACAGTCGGTATGAAATGTGCAGAAGAGTCGCTGCATCACAAACAGACGGCTGTTAGAAATTGAAGAAGATCTTACGGCCTGTAGAGATTTCAAAAACTGTATTTCAGCAGAATAAGGCCAAAAAAAAAACTTTGTGGGGCGCTGGTGGTGCAGTGGTTAGTGCGCGCTCCCCATGTATGGAGGCTGTCGTCTCAAGCGGGCGGCCCGGGTTCACATCCCACCTGTGGCCTCTTTCCCGCATGTCATTTCTCTCTCTCTCTCTCTCTCTCTCTCTCTCTCTCCCTGATTTCCGACTCTATCCACTCTATCTCTCCATTAAAGGCATAAAAACCTCAAAAATAAATTTAAAAAAAAAACTTTAAAAAAAACTTTGTGAAAGTATCATGGAGATGTTTTCTTGCACAGTTCCTGAAGGCAACATAACAATACATGCATGATGACTTAAAAAGAATATAAAACATACGTGTCTTCACTGTAGTTCCTTCACCAAACAGGATTTGTCCACATGTGAGCACAGCGCAGTAGTACGTCCCGGCGTCAGACGAGTTGTGTATGGTTTTGGACAGATTGTAGACACAGC